AATCAGACACCTCAGAACGTGTGTCCTCCCGGGAGTGACAGGGACATCTTCTCCCTACTCTTTTAAGGAAACAAAATCCAGTGGGAGAGTGACAAGAAATAAATAACTCCTCGATTTGGAATGTAACTTTGGCACAGTGTACATGGATTCTGGGCTACTTCTGGGGGGAAAAGGGGTCTGTAGATACCTTACATTTTAACTTTATTATGCTGTTCCATATTTGAGGGAGTTTTTTAGCAGAGAAATATCCCTCTGTATAAGTAAACCCCCTTTTTGCTAATTCATCTTTTTTTTATGTTGATGACAAATGGATTTGAGACGGCAGTGGAAACACTTGTGGAAAACATTTTCTTCCAGCCCCTGGGGTGCTCTAGGATTCAGGGAGACTCTTCAGACAAGTATCAGACTGGATTTCTCTCCTGCCTTCGTGTCTGCACAGAAGAGGGAGCTTGACTATGGCAAAGTAACCCGAGCCAAGAGGCTCACCCAGCAGGAGTCTGGCGTGCTCTGACCGCCGAAGTCCTGGCTTCGGCTTGTTTACAATTTGCTGGAGGTGCCATTCCGAGCCTGGGAAGTGCAATTTCACCCTGAGAGAGCTTGAGAACTGCAACCCTCGGCATCGCTTCTCCCTCCCTCCAGCCTCAGACAGCACAGGCTGCTGCGGATGCCTTCGCTGGAAGGGCTGATGGAGGGTGGCACTGCCTCTCCTTCGGAAGGCAGGACACAACGTCCTGGTGGTTGTGCTGGAATGCAGGACTGGAAGCGTGCATGAGGTAACTACAAGGGTTTGTTCTGTCAGTAGCTCTGCTCCAGATGTGTGAGGAAATGGGGCAGGCTCCTTCCCGGGAACGCCGCCGGGATCGCGCGGAGCCTGCAGAGAGATGGCTGCGGCGCCGCGGCCTTAGTGCCAAGTGATCTGAGGCAGTGTTGGGCCCGAGGGGCCTACAGGCTGTGCTGAAGGGGCTGGGGACAGAGTGGGTGGTCCCACGGAGCTCTCCCATGGCCAGGAGCAGGCTGTCTCCCTGCCTGCCCCACGCTCCGGCTGCCCTCCAATCTCCCCCCCATCTTCCTCCCATTCTCTCCTCTGAAATTCTCTACCTCCAGGGAACAGGAAAAGTGTATGCCCCTAAGCTGTATTTTGTCTTCTCCACAGAAACAGTCCAAGCCCTCCAGGATAGCTGACATGGGCTCTTCTTTTCCCATGGCTTGATGCCTGAATCAGGCCGTGGGAAGCTCTTTTTAAAAGAGGGTAAAGTTGTTTTTTTTGTTTTGGTCACTTCAGTGATGTTTATCAGTAAAAATGTTCCACGTTGCAGTGATGGCTCCCTCCATCCCCAGACCAGCTGGATTCAGTCAGGGCAACAGGGGAGGCCTTTTGTCGTGAGATCTATGTACATTTTGCTTCTTGCAGTAAGGTCTCCCAACAAACAGCTGCCACAGGTGACACCATTCCAACCCAGAACTGCTCAAAGCCCTCCCTGCTCCTAGCACTGCTGTGCACTCGTGAGGGCTTTGGGGCTTTTTTAAACCCAAATTGCTGTAAGTTTCCACCAGATCCACACAAGGGCTCGTGTCCCTTCCTGTTGACCTTGTCCATCATGCCAAAGTCCAATCAGCCAGGAGTCATGGATGGAAAAAGGGAGCAGGGGATGCGTGAGCCAACTGTGCTGTGGAGTCCTGTGTCAGTTCTGATTTGAGGTCCCTCTTGAGATTTTGGTTGATTTCTTATTTTTCCCCTTTTTCCTTCTGCCCCTGCCCCAGTGGAGAGGCTCAGCCAGCATTGATTTCTCTCCCTTCCCTGAAGTGTTTTCTCTGTATTCTTTGTAATTTTTAATTAATGTATGTATTCTTTGTGTCCTATTGTAAATAAATCTGCCATTGTCCTGTCGTCCTGCTCTCCTGAGTTCTCCTACACCACCTCTGGAGACTTTCTTTTCGTAACACTTGGCCTGTTTGACACACACGTGGTCTGTCACATGTGGTTCCAGCCAGAAGCAGAGCTTGGAATGCTCTGGTTTTCTTTGTAATACTTTTCTCCTGGTAACTTTGGCTGAGCAGTAAGTGTCTCCCAGTGTGACTTGTCTTGAACACTGCCATCTATTGTAGTTATGCCAGTGTTTGAGGTACTTGGATGTGCTGCAGGGTAAGATCCTTTGAGCACCTCATCTCTTGTGTGAGCTATGTTGTTTGGTGTGTGTGGCACTGATGGGCAGAGCAGGACTGTCAGATGACTGATGAGCTGGCAGTGCTGGGCTGATCCACGATGCTCTGGAGCTGCAGAAGTGAGAGGACAGTTCAGAAGGGAACTGCCATCTCCTTCCTCTAGCAGCAGTTTGGAGGTGTGCTGGTGCTGTGGAAGTTGGACATTCAGCGTTGGCTCCCAGCTCCGTGGCTCTCCAGAGCTTGTGTGTTTATGCTGGGGGGATGTGACAGGAGAGCAGCTAAATGCTGACTGAGGGAGGGACAGTGAATTCCCCTTTCTTGAAGTGTTTTTCCCAGCAGAGTAATGGGTGTGCTTCCCCCAGGTTATGAAGGTGCCAAGGGCTACTGAATGTCTGTGTCGGAAACCAAAACCGGCAAATACTTTAATCACAACTGGGAAATCATCAGAATAGTCCCTTCTCCCTTTGCAAAAGGCAAAGGAAGCTTAGCTCCCCCAGCAGGACAATCTGTGCTGAACTCATTGCTCACTTTTGGCAGATGAGAGCAGCAGCAGCTGTGGTTGTGTCCTGTCGGCTCTGGGGGAAAGCTGCTGAGGAAAGGGCATGTTGCACCAGGGAATGCTTTAGGAATGAAAACTAGATCATGCCTAGAAAAGCACCTGAACACTGATCATGGCTGTCAGCTTTTAATTCATGTTCTGAAGGAGAGTCCTGAGCAGGCAGAGTGTGCTTTGCCCTGTTTCATCTCCAAATGCTGCTGGTGCCCACAGCTGGTTGTAGGTTAAGCTGAGGTTTGGTCCTGGTTCTGCTGCCCTTGTGTGGGCACAGTCCTGGGGAGCAGAGCATGTTGGGGTTGTTTGGGAGGGAGGAGTGAGCTGGACTCATTTGAAATGCTGCCACATGGGCTGGAAATTTTGGTGAAATCAAGTGACCAGAACTTTCTAACTAATGTTATTCTCCTTGACAGGGAATAATGGTTTCAGCTGTGGCTGCATCCCCAGTTGGGGTGCTTTTTTTTGGGGGGGGTCTAATTCTTTGCTTGAAAGAAAACCCACTGTAGCTTCATGTAGGGAACTGTGTCTTTGACCTGCCTTACAGTTCTGTCTTTACTTCAACCAACCAAAACCCCATTCCCCTCTAAGAAGACACCTAGGGCAGATCATTCAAAGGCTTTTAATAAACAACTTCATTATAAAAAATGCTTTCAATTGGAAGTTCATTTTGCAAGAGCTGATTTTAGTGATGAACCATACATTTCCTAATGGCACTTAATTACAATTTAAAAACCTTGTTTACAGCCCCCAAAATACTCCATTAAAAGAGGTTATTCACTGTGTGTAAAAGTGCTAGAAAGTTTGTTTTTTAGAAAACCAGTTGAGCTTTAACAATAGGAAGTTTCTGGCTCTGACAGCTGTTGCTGCAGGGAGGGAGGTCAGGCACAGGGCCAGATCCAGCACAAGAAGGGACAGCATGAATGGCAGCCCTGGGGAAGGACACCATGGTTCTGCCATCCACTGCCAGGGCTGAGACCCCCTGCAAACCCTTCACCTTCCAAGAGTGTGTTTGCTGTCTCCTGAGGCAGATGGCAGAGCTTGTGCTGGGACAGCCCTGCCTGGGAGAGGGTTCTGAGTGTGACTTGTGGCTGCAGAGGCCATCTGATAGCTTTTTCTTCAGCAGCACTTTAGGAGCTTGGCTGCTCCCAGGGATGAGTCTTCATGGTTCCACCGGTTCCTTTTGACCAGCTCTTGGAGCACCTCGGCAGGCAGCTCTGTGTTCTTCATCAATATCCTTGCTTAAGGAAAACACTGGTACAAATGTTACAGAACAACCTTTCTGAAAAATGGTTCCTAGGTATCAGGAATCACTAGAGTGGGAAAACCCCACAAAGCAGTCAAGGCTGAGGCACTCAGTAGGGTGAGGAGAATTCAAACTCCAGAGAAGCTTCTAGCAGAAGTTCTGGGATGTGGTTGAGTGTGCAGGGTGAACCTGAAGTGGGTTGTGCTGCTGAGGGCCATAAGCAAACCTCATGTGTTACCTTCAAGTGCAAGACACTGACTACAGAGGGAAAAGGGCTGCAGGTAGTACCTGGTCTGTTCACCTGGATGCTGAGCCAGCCAGGCTTGTGTGCTGGGTGCTGGAGACTGTCCCTCTCCATGTCCTGCAGGCCTCAGAGCTGTCCCTTATCCACTCAGTAAATTCCGTGCTAGAGCTGGTTATCCACTTGCATAGTAGTTTAACACAAAGACACAGTTCATGAACAGAGGGTGAGACTGAAGGTGAAGACAGCTGTGAAAGTGATGGATGGTTGGTTTGTAACAAGACACTTTTAATGTGGAGGATTCTTCCCGTAAATGAAAATGAAGAGCTGACCTATTTAAGAGTGATAAAAAATGGGATTCCAGATTCCCTGGGTTTTCTCTTTTGCAATGCATTTAACTTTCCTTGTCACTGTGATCTCCTGATACAGAGAAGCTCCCTCTGTGTCATGTACTCCCTATTCATGTGCTGGTTGTTTAGCACTGGTGGAAAGGACGACTCAGGCCTGGCTTCAGCTACAAGCACACAGCAAGGAAGATGTTCCTCTTACAGCCTACCTGTGTGCATGGAAATAGAATGTACACTGGACAGGAAAGCCAAGCTCAGCTGGTATGTGAGGAGCAGAATGTGATCTGTTTTCTAGTCTCATTTCTGATCACCAGTTCCATTTTTGCTTGACCTGTTCCTGTGCCAGTCTGAAGCACTCAGTGGCAAGTGGTCTGTGGGACCATGTGGAACTGACTCTGGGTACAGATTGCAGACTGCAGCGTGGGAGAAGAGTCCTTACCTGGAGCCACAAGAATGGCTGGAACATGCAGAAGGAATCCTAAAGGATCCCAGTTATTCAGCAAAGCAAGTCTGTCACTGGGTGCAGGGAACAGCCAGAGATGAGTGTGCATGGGAGTGTGCAGCAGGGACAGCAGAACCTGAGAGGATCTGCTCACACCAGTGATGCAGTGGTGATGGGGAATGGGAATAGTGGTCCTGTAAGGCAGTTGGGTCAGTGGTAACAGCATCTCCCTGGGCAGCTTCCAGCTGCTTTCCAAGGCAGGCTCAGCATGGCTGTGGCTTGTTACAGGGAAAAGAGCATGGAAAAGCTGAGAGTTTGCAGGGCTGGGGACTGGGGTGAAAACAGTCTGGACTTCCCCAGTCCTGGTCCAGCAGACCAGGCTAAACCAAACTGCCTTGTCTACCATGCAGGGGTTGGGCAGGATGGGATTCAGAGCTTCACATGGCAATTCCATCTCAGAGAACTGGGAAAAATACAAGAATTTAGTTATGGAAAAGAAGCAAATTCAGGATGAGGATGGAAACCTGAAGTGGTTCTTTTTGAGCCATTCATCCACTTCACTCTGGTGGCAGAATATCTCCAGGGCTTGGGCAGGCAATTAACTGAAGATAGGCACCCGAGGGAGAGCTCAGTCAGCCTGACTAACTAGGATTAGAGAGGATAAGCAAGAAGGTAGGGTGGTGGGGAAAGCATCTTTGAAGATTTCTTTGTGGAAATTTTAATTGCAGGCAGCAGAAAATGCCTCCATGGGGTTGTTCTGTCCAGACAGCAAAGGTGGTGCAAAGGCAGAGAAAGGAAATGGAGATTTTTCAGTGAACTGCAGGAAGTCTTCCAAGCAGCTGCTATTCACCTGTCAGCAAGGAAGGAATTAAAGAACAAAGAACTGAGCTCACAACAAAAGTACTGGGATTCCAGTTGAAGTGACACCATTTTTCAGCACTGAGGCTGAGGAGCAGCCCTGTTGTGCCACAGAACAGGGTCTGTCACGACGTGGTGCTGGGTGTGCTGTCAGGTGAAACTCAGTGGAAGCAAATGCAGGTAACATGTTGTACCTTCCTACAAATGGATTTTGAGAGAGCTGTAATCCCGTGGGGGAAAAGATCTTCAGCCTTTCACAGGGCTCTGGCAATGTGAGCCTAGAAAGACAGGCAAGGTGAGTTAACCCTCTGCTGCCAGGGAATGGTTTGGC